GAGAGAGAGAGAGAGAGAGAGAGAGAGGGAGAGAGAGGTGTGTTTATATAATATGATGATGTGTATTGTAAATTTCTCGTCTCATGGGTTGTTAAAAGAACATTGCTAATTTCTTATAGGGAAAATAGTAATCGTAAGTGATCTTATAATATTCAAAATGCCAAAGATAAAAGCAAAAGCAAGCAAAATAAAAAATGCTTGTAAGTCACAACTCGACCCCAAAACGTACCTCTGTCGGTTACAAAGCTAGTTTTAAAAAAATGATAAATTGTATTTATCAAATTGGTTTTAGTAAAAAAAATTACAGCACTTGCAATGCAATTAAGCCATGTAAGTGCCGAAGATTATTAAAGATTTTACTTGAGAAACGTGCATGGAAGAGAAGAAGGAGAGATAAGGACGATAGATTGTGATAGGAAAGAAAGAGCAAACTGCACCAGAGCGCCGCAAACCACCCGCTCATTAATTTTAATTAAAAGCCTGACTTCAATGCCAGGAAATGAATAGCTAATAGCATCGGTTTATCCATTTGATAAAGGCTTTTAAATATGGCTTGCTGATAGTAACTCAATTGGAAGGTTTGAAATATTGAAATGTCCTACTTAATTCACTGAGTTTATTGAAGTGAAATGTCATTGTATGTGACTCATAACTGTATGAGAATTGACTTTTCAAGCATAAGACAATAGCACAACCGGGAAAATCCCCAGGAAAAGGGCCAGGTACACGAATTATGCATTGAACTAATTTTTAGCAAATGAACAGCCATTCGATAGCTCTCAGCTGAAGAAAACGGCTGAATTGTAGGCACGCATAATAGACAATGTGTATTTTAAAATAGCCGTTATTGTTTTGGGTTGGGTTTTTATTTCCTTGCACCCAGTGACATCAGTAGTCAGGAGGTTGATGAAATATGTCATCAATTTTGTCTCTGTCTTTGTCTCTGTCTCTGTCTCTGTCTCTGTCTCTGTCTCTGTCTCTGTCTCTCTCTCTCTCTCTCTCTCTCTCTC